CACACTCAGTTCCCGCCTCCATCTCAAATACAGCAAACAGCCTTACAGAGACTACTTAACTAGATCTGCAATTATGTAAAGGCAATTTGTAGAAGTATCCTTCATACATTTTTGGTATTCTGCTTCTCTGAATTCTAATTGAGACATGGGGTAATTTATTACAGTGGCATATAGTATCCTTTATTCTAATACAATCTTCATGTATTCTTCCATTTGGAAGATATCTTTCTCAACCTGATGAACTTAAACACAAACTGGGGAAATACAAATATTGATTTCAACACATTTACAAATAAATTAATCGAATGAAATGCTTTTACTTAGGTGTTTTAAATGTATTTTCTCTAAAAACCATAAAACCAAAGATTTACTTCATCTAACATCTATTACTGGCAAAAAGTCCATACTATCAAACAAGTCAAACAAATTAGATTTTGTTAGAAAGTGTTTTTGTTGTTCAGTTCAAATAAATGTGCTGATATGCATTTCCTGATCACTATCTTTTTTCTGGTGCCTGCAAATATGGATAAGATGTGGGGCCTCATTATGTGGATGCTGCCTGCTTCCATGCTTCTAAGCAGCAGTCTTTTTCCTATGGTTTCACAATATGCTCCCCCCAAAATGACATTCTGCTGAGGGGAGCATCAGGCCAGACAAGAGAGGTCTGCCACATCATGTGAGCTAGCTCCCTGCCCAGGTATCAAACTCATGCTACAGTGGCTGTGAGTAGCTTTGTAGTGCTGAGACTTAACCCCTTGTACCAACAGGGAGGCCCACTTCATTCATTTTAACCATACTCATGAACAGGAGAAAGATACAAAGCTCCACCAAGGGTTTATAGTGCCTTGATTAAAGGATATCTCATTGATTCCAGTATTTTAAACTAGCTCTTTTTAGGGAGCTGAGGGGAAGGAGGTACCTCTATTAATTTTTGTATTGTGCTGTAATACCTCAAAACCTTAACAAACATTATCTTGCACAATGTCTATGGACCAGTGATCTAGGACAAGTGGTTCTGGCCTATTCTCTTACAAGGTCAGGATGCTGAATGGGATATAGACTTGACTAGGGTGGAAGAGGCACTTCTTAGAAGATGACTTCCATCCCTTATCACACACATCTCCATAGGGCTGTTCAAGTGTCCTCATGATATGGCAACTTGCTTACCCCAGAGTGAGAAATCCAAGAGACAGAACAAGGAGGAAATCATCACTTCTTATGAACTTATCTTGGAAGTTATAGACCCTCACAACTGACATATTCTTTCAGGAAACTTTAATGCAAAGAATTATTAAGCAGTTGGTGCAACGTGTTAAAGCGTAGCACTATGAAGCTATCTGAAGCCACTGTAGCAGTTTGATCCCCAGCCAGGAAGCTGACCCACATAGCACAGCAGAACGTTCCTGTCTCACCTACTGCTCCTCTCAGCAGTGTATTTCAGTGGATCTGCCTATTCTGCTCCCAACTCTGATGAATCCGCTTACCCTCATGCACCCCAATTCTTGTACACATAAATAAGTAAATCTTAAAAAAGAAAGAATAGGGCCCTCCCTGGTGGCGCAGCGGGTTAAAGCACAGCACTGAGAATCTAAAGCTGCTTCCGCATGAGTTCGATTCCCGCCTGCCCCGGAGGAGACCACATGGCGTGGCAGACCTCTCCTGACCCGCCCGCTGCTCCCCTCAGGAGTGTACTTCATTGATCTGCCTGTTCTGTTCCCCACTCTGTCTCTGGTGAAGCCTCTCACCGCCCCTGAGCCTCTGGCCTGTACCCCAGTTCTGTATGCACAAATAAATAAATCTTTAAAAAAAAAAAAAAAAGAAAGAAAGAGTGATTAACCAGTGACTGGATATTTAGTACTAAGGGATAAAGGCAACTCTAAAAAATAAAAAGCAGTTATAGGGAATAGCCACTACCTTTAGAGCTGAAGCAGAGTACCCAAGGAAGGAGCAAACTCTGAAGTGCCCTGCTTCCACCCTTAGATTAAGACCTCAGATCTCAGTGGACAGAGAGGTAGTTATGGCCCACAGGATTGTGAAGTTACTATGGTGATGCAAGTGGAGTTGGTAAACAGGAAGCTGCTGAATGAGGTCTCTCTGAACTTGCAGGGAATCCATTCTCTGGATGTCCCAGGAATCTGGTGTATGTTGTGGGTTGCAATGTACCACAGAGCAAAAAAAAAAACATGCTTAGGAAGAAAAGGACCCGTGAATCAGCTATGTTCCTCTAGGGCTCTTGACTGACAAAGCACTGTGCCAGCTGAAAGAGGGGAAATATTTATAAGGCCCACTACAGTATTTCAAAGGGTGGGTTTATAGCTGACAGCCCATAAACATATGTTCTGTTCCAGGACAATTAATATATTGAATCTGAAGGGCTGCCCTAAACCCCAGTAGGAGTGTTACATTATACACATATTATGTGTACCACAAGCCTTTGTACAATCTGAACAATTTTGAAATATATCTGGACCTAAGGGTTTGGTTAAAGGATTATGGGCCTGTATGGTACTTTGTTGTTAATTAGCATGTCTTGTAAATTTCAGTGCAGAGTGATCTGAAAAATCAGGATGGGCAAGGAATGTGCCTCAGTCTTCTGCTTTTGTCTATGACCAGATCTAATCATCAGCTGGCATTAAACCTTAAGTGGTAAAAATACTTCTAATACCTCAGTAATTGTTTGAGTGGTGAAGTGAAGGGATATGCCTTGGCTAAGCTTGCCTCTCATATAGCTTAAGACCTCTAACGCAAGTGTGACTTTTAATCACCCTGAGCTCCTGGGATTTGATTCAATATTACTATTTTTTCCTCTTAAGGTGATGTTTTTAATAAAAGGACAGAGACTTTGAGTCATTGCCATTACAGCTCTAACACCAAGGGTTGCAAACTCAAAAATTAACATGAGTTAGGCACACTACTTAAAAGAGTGAGTCATGCAGATTTAAGACAATAGAGCATGATGGCAACAGCAGAAATCTATAGAATACCTGTAGGTGCTACTTAACTCTTGCATATTATCACCACCAGATCCAATATAGTCAGTTAATTTTCAAGAGAAGCAGTAAATTCTTATGTCAATTTTTAAATAACAGAAAAGATGATGCAGCCTCTGGACTTTGCCATCTGACTGCTTTGGTCAATGGGACAGAGCAAGTGTGATGCAATGAAAAGCTTGCTAAGCATTTCATTGGGTCTTGTCCTCCTGGAAGCTTCTGCATGAATTAGAAGCTGAATGATTAGAAGCCAGGTGGAGAATAGAGGCTTTAGAGGATGAGAAGTTGTTTTGATGAGCTCCTTGCTGGTTGCGGCCCCATGAGTAACCTCAGCTGTGTGGGCCCAGCTGAGGCCAGTCAACCCACACAATTGTAAAAAATAAACCATGGTTATTTTAAGCTACTAAGTCTTGGGGTAGTTTATTATGATGCAATAGGTAACTGAAATAGAGGCGACTTATTCTAAACCCACCATTTTTCTAATAAATGTCCCAAGGCCCAGAAAGAGAAAAAGGTCTGACAAAATTTAGACAGCAATTTAGTGGCAAAAACTTTCAAATTCTGGGTTTTTCCTTCTCATTGTTTTTCTTTCAATTCCTGGCAGACAGCACCAGATAAGGACTGTGAAATTCAAACTCTACCCACAGGGAACTTATACTGTGTTCTGCATGTGTACACAAAACTGCAGTAGTTTGGTTTTTGGAAATGGAAAAAAAATTAAGTCATTTACTCTTGCTTTCCAGGAGCAAAGAATGCAAAAAACGTTTTGAGAAAGTGAAAAGCAGCCTCTGATAATTGGAAACTGGTCTGGTATCATCAGCCAGGCTATGTTGCTAGAAAGTCTTTCTTTCTTTGCTAGGTCTTGTTTTCTCTCGTTGACCACAGTTTCACAGAACATAAACATCAGACATGGCCATTCTGTGACCCTTGTAGAGCAAGACAAAAACAAGACCACTCCTCAGTTATATCTGAACGCATTTAAAACATGAGCAATAACCCCAAACATTCTCCGCTCCTGGTACACAGGACGGGGTGCGGCTTTTTTCCCCCAGCATTTACAGCTTTAAACTCAGTCTCCTCCAGGTAAGTTATTGAGATGCCCAGAAACAGTCACAGAATTACCTCCACTTGCTAACAGCATGTAATCCAGAGTAAAGACCTCTATTTCCTTAAAATCTCTCCCTCAAATCACCTATCAATTCTTAATAGATGCCCACGGTTCCTCAGTGTGCGTCCTCCTCAACGCAATCATGAATAAACGCAAGTTATTCAATTATCACTGTGTCTCGGATGGTGTTTGGGTAGAGGACGCGAACAGACCTGACAAATTTCACTGAGCGTTGGGGATGGAGTTCGCTAGGAGGAATCTCCTGATCCCCAGCTTTATTTCCCCTCAGTACCTACCACTCTTCTGGTTAATGTCTACCTTTCCCCACTAGAATGAAATCCCACAAGAGCAGATGCCTCGACGCCATGTTCACAGCTGATTCCTAGTCCTGAGGTAGCCGGCAGAGGCTGGACGTTTACAAAGCATTTACGAACAAACATGTAAGAGGGGCTCAATATTACAGGCTCCCTTTCAGGTCTCAGTTGCTCTCAGTTCGTGCTCATCTCCATAAACCTTCCCCAATTAAATCTACAAACCCTCACTTCGGGACGCTCATCCTCTCTAGACGTCGCTTCCCTTGAGCAAGCTCCTCTCGTTCGCTGGCCCTCTCCCACACCGGGGCCCCAAGACCATTCCCTTCTAATGCACCTAGAACCCACCTGTCTTCAACATCTTCCCCTATCCCCAGAGGCTCGCAAACTCTGGCGCCGCTACCTACTCCAAGTGGGCACTGCGGACACCGACTGCGCATGTGCGGAAACCCGTCGCACACGCAGGCTCTCTGACAAGTGAAGAGTTGCCTCGGAGTTTCCGTCCCGGTCTGGGTAGCCTTCTGCGGTCAGGAAGTCAGAGAAGGTAGCCGGAAGGAGAGTCCGCTCGCAGGGCATTATGGGAAATGTAGTCGTGGCGCTCCCGAGAGTTTACCTTGTTTGATCCCATATTTCTTTCGGTCTGTACATCCTGCAACCACGGTCCAGGAGTACTTTCTGCTTAGAACTTAGCCTCGGACTGCCTGGAGAGACCAGTGTGGTTTTGACTTCTTGTTCCCATAACACCCTCCTGGGCACGCGGCGCCTGCTGGGAGCTGTAGTCCCCGCCCTGCTTACTGCGTTCGCCGAGGGGGAGGGCGGAGCTGCCGGCGGCCCGGGCGGGCTGGCAGCTAGAGTGGGTGCGATAGCCGCCTCCGCCTTTACCGCCTCCGCCGTCGCCTCCTCCGCCCGGGCCGTTCGCTGCTGCGCGGGGAGTGCGAGGCGGGGCCGCCGGGGCCGCCATGGAGCCCGACTCGGTGATTGAGGACAAGACCATCGAGCTCATGGTGAGTGTGGCCCGCTGGACCGTCCGTTCTTCCGTCCGTCCGTCCGGCCCCGGGCGGGCCTGCCCACCTCAACGTCCGGCGCGAGGCCGGCCCTGGCCCTTCCCTGCCGCCACGGCCCGAACCTGGGCCCCCTGTCTTTCTTGGCCGCCGGCCCAGCGCGGTTCCTCAGGATCCCTCGAGATCTCAGGCCGGCCTCAGCCCGGCCCCCTCCGTGCCCCTCGTTCTCCCTTCTCCTGGCCTGTCTCCGGGTCAGTTTCTCGGACGACCCTCGCTCGCTTTTTCTGTGGCCTTGGGTCATATTCGCTCTAGTACCTCATTTTCCTTCTCTTAAAAGGGGATTTTGTTCTCTTCTATTTCTAAGACCCAGGCCTGCACCACTTTCGCAAGCCCCATTCGGGTCGAGTGAGATGATGGTGGAAGGGGGTACGGAGGAGATCGGTCAGGGCCTCGGCCTCCGCGTCCTGGAAGGGTCTCAGCCCCCTTTTCCTCACCCACGGCTTGACTGTTTGGATGCCAAGATAGGCCTTATAGGGCTGGGGGTGGGGAACTTCGGATTTGATGCTGTGATGGATAGACGGCCTCTTGCCCGGGCCCCTGTGATGTCCGACTTATCGGACAAAGGGTTTCCTACTCGGCCAGGAGGGATGTTTGCATAGCAAGGCCCCAGGTGCTCGGGATTCCATCTCCTAGGAATGGGAAATCGTAACTTCACGTTTTCCAGGGCTGCTTTGGGAAATGGGGGGTGGGGAGAAGGAGGTAAGAAGATAGGGGGAGGATAATCCTCAATGTCGCTAGGTCTCAAAAAAAAAAAAAAAAAAAAGCGGAGTTGGGGGGGGGGAATTCAAGGCTCCTTGGGAGGGGATCACACTTCTGTTAGAAATCATTGGTAGCCAGGCCAGACTTCCTGGCCCTGTGAGCACCCCCAACCCCCTTCGGTCTTAGGACTTGGAACCAAGAGGGGTTTTTAGAAACAGGACCATGTGGCGAGTAAAAGCCAAGAATTTGCTACTTGGCGGATGGTTTGGTGGAAGGAATGAAATATGGCAGCTATTACCTGCCAATGTGAACATTAGGGAAATCAAACTGGGCTCTTGAGAGTTGGGAGGAGGAAGTCTTTGCTTCAGCAAATGGGCTAGCCCAGGGTTTCTTCCTGTGGAAACCTTGACAGTTTCTTTGTATCTCTCCTAACACAGTAACAACTTCTACCTCAGGGTTGAGAGGAAAGGTGAAAGAATGTACTTAACCCAGCAAAATGTTTTCCTAGCCAGATTTTCTCCAGTGTGAAATGTTTATTGAGTCAGTGATTCCACTGGGTAGGGTCGGTGACATCAGAGCCACTTCCCCCATTTAATGCTATAAATAATAAATGGTGACACTGAAAGTCTGTTGGATAACTGCATGGCGTCTGTGGATGATGGTATCCAGGGAGTTGAGATGCATGTTTTAAAAATGGAAGTATGGTAGCACAAATACAGAAGCAGCCTAATATTTGCTATCCTTTGCATAATTCACAAAATTAGACTTATCCAGCATTCTTAAAATGAAATGGGGAGAAAAGCCCTGGCACTTTCTTATTTGTGTGTGTTTGTGTGTGTGTGCATCCATGTCAGAGGACCCACGTGTGGTTGTTTTGTAAGGGATACTGCCATTTGTGGATTATTTTGTTTTAATTAATTAATTTTTTTTTCTTTTCAGCGTAGCTTATCAAACGATTGTTATAGTTTGGTAACTATAGTCAAGCTTTTGCGTTTTGCAAATCTTAGAGTGGATTATTTTGGTAAAATACCTTAAGTGGAATTACATATAATACATACTCCTATGGATGTACAATACATGCACTTTTAACAGGAGAATTTCATATGGAAAAATTGTAACTCAGTACTTTGAAATTGCCTGTTCTGTGCTCCTTTCATTTCCATCTATTAAAAAAAAATCCCAAAATCAAGTCTTTATTTTCGAAAGAATTAGAAGATATATAATATAACCTATTTAGTGTCTCTGAATGACTGCTTATGCTCAAAAAAATCATTGGGCTTATTTTTTTTTTTACTTTCTATGCTCATAATTTTAAAAAGTTTTGAATTTCTGTGATTGTGCTCATCTATGATCTGAAAGGGTCCTTCAGGTCCCAGGAAGGACTACAAACTGGGGTTTGTAGAAAATTGTAACAGCGTTTAGTAGCTACCTAGATTATTTTTTTTAATGGCTTTTCATATGCAGATTTTGATAATCCCTCAGGTATACTAGTCAAGATTCTGAGGCAACAGAATCATAAACATACATATTTAAGAGTAGTAGATAGTTAAGATACCGATTTAGTAAACCCAGTACCAGTATCATATGTAGAAGTTATACTGCCTTAAAATATAATTGCTTGTGTTTTTCAATACTCATTGAATTTTAATTACAATTTACAGAACTAGGTAAAAAAATTTTTTTTTACATTTGTTTCAGAATAACATAATTTGGAGGTAGGGGAAGAATTTAAATTGATGGTATTTTGAGATTTTTTTAATGAGTCAGCTCCAGTACTCAGATATTTGTGATTGTACTTATGGGCTTGGCACTTCGTGGTTATTAAAAGTCTCTTTCATTTGATATTCTAGAGCTTGCTGTATTTCTAGTTTCTTAATCTTCAGTTCTCTACTTTCTTTAATTTTAAGTCTTTCTCCGGAAGTTCTGATAAATTTGCTAAGAAATAAGCTTGGTGAAAGAATAATTAAATCTCCAAAATATAACCAAAATCCCTGTTAGGACATTCACTTATCACAGGCCTGGTACATTAAAGGGGGGCTGGGGGGGTGCATCTTTTTTCTTAAGATAGAGTTCAGTCTTTCATGCAGACTGTCTTGTCTATCTACTCTTGTTTTAGACAACTTAATTTACAGTTGCTGATGGTGAATAATTTATGACTGTTGGTCCAGTACTGTAACCTAGTTTGTGGGGCTGTTTTGCAAACTCTTGACCTCAGTAAAATCAGCTTTATTATTAATGAGCTAGGAGAATAGTAGTCCATTTTGAAAGTTGTATATAGAGTTCTTCATGCTATGTCTTCTGTTATGGCTTTCACTGGAAAGAATAAAAACTACTTTGTTTATCCCATGGTATTTCTAAATGCTTGAGATAGGAATATAAATTGATAGTCAGGCACTCATTACTAGAAAGCACACAGAGTGGCTAATTGGGAAAGAATGATTCTTTCTTTTCTGTTTGAAGGTAGTGGAAGCTAACCTTAAAAGTTTGGTCAGGGTGGGCCCTCCCTGGTGGCGCAGCGGGTTAAAGCACAGTACTAAGAGGCTAGGTCATTTCTGCTTGAGTTCAAGCCCCGCCTGCCCCGGAGGTGATCCACATGGCGCTCTAGACCTCTCCTGACCAGCCCGCTGCTCCCCTCAGCAGTGTACTTGGTCAGTCGCTCTGTTCTCTCCACTGTCTCTGGTGAATTCTCTCACTGCCCCTGCATCTCTGGCCTGTACCCCAGTTCTGTAATGCATAAATAAATCTTTTTAAAAAAAAAAAAGTTTAGTCAAGGTAACCTGGCTCCCTTTGGGTGTAAGTACATATATTCCTCCTCCCTCATTCCCCTTTAGACAATGAATGGGTAGGGGTCTTGCTTTGCTAAGTGATCATGAGTAAGTCATTTCCCTTTTATGTTATCTTTCTGAACTGTTACTTGCTGAACGAAGTAATATCGGTAAAAATAAGTTGAATGTTATTATGAAGATATAAATATTACATTTAGAGCTATTGAAATAATAAAGGTAGGGCATGAGGCCAAGAAGATGAAAGGAACTGGTAAGTCAGATTCTAGAGGGGTGTCCTCTTTTTGCCCATTCTGTCTTTGGCTTTCTAAGTGAAGGAAGTGGGACTGTTTAGTGGCTCCTTTAAGAAATGGATCTTAACTTTGTCACTGTCACTTATCCTCAACTACCTCTATTGAAGTGCTGATTTACCAAATGCAGATTAAATAGTTGAAAGTTTAAGTAGGATCCCAGAGAACCACATACAGCTTGTAAGATCTCAGGGACCTGATCAAAGAAACTGTGGCTCAAATATAAAAATTTTTAGCCCTGATTTTGGAGTAGGTTAGGTGCCTTTTCAGATTTGTTAGGAATAAATATGATAGTGCACATAATCCGTGAGCTTGGCCCCGGACTGCTCAACTCAGAAGGAGCTAGAGTGGGGAGAAACTAGCACTTTCATAGAACAGCATGTACATCTCATCGTTTTGATCTTTTGAATTCTAGAAACAACTTTTCTGTACTATGATGTATCTGGGACCCCAGGTGATACTTACTACTATAAGGGAAGGAAAGTATTTCAAGCACTGCTTTATTCCAATTATAGTCCACCTTCCAGTTTTCTTTTTCACATTATTTCCTTATTCTATAGTCTAGTCACTGGTGAGGGAGAATCATGGTTCTTTAGATTCTGCTTACACTGTTTCCTTTGTCAGCACTGATATGAACTGACTTAAACCCAGGTATTGAAGACTACAGATATTTGTGGAAAGGACCTAATAGTAGGCTGTCTGGCCAAATCAGCTTAGTTCACATCTCAGTAATCCGCTCTTTTACTTAGGCTGATAAAATAAAGTCCTGTCTGCAAGCAAAATACCATTTAGATGCCGCTGTTGATGTCAATTTCTATTGTAGCTTATACCATTTTATTTTTAAAACTATAGCACTGTCTGCATGATATTCTTTGTTAAATGAGAAGAATGAATTCTAGCACTTTGTATTTATCTTGGAGCATTTAACTTATTTCAGGTTTATAATTTCCTGTTTGTGTCCCTTATTAAGTGATAAACCCTTCATAGTGCTTTTTTGTAGTGTTTTGTAAACATTGAGTTAATTTCTTTAATTGTTTGCATACATTAATTGCCTTTTGCCAATATCTTAACCATCCTCTTTTTCTGGAAATTCTCAACTCAATCATTAATTCTAGCAATCTGTTTTTAATTACTCTGGGATTTATCATACCTTCCTGTTTATCGTAAAAAT